GTGGTTCTTCGAACTCTTATCTTTATGTATATACAGACCACGATGCCGTGGTCTGTATCGCTTTGCATTGTAACAAATTAAAGTTTGCCTTGCAGTGGACTCCCCAATTTTATGACACGTAACACTTGTGCGTACTGCCGAGAAAGTATGTTTTTTTGTGACGAATACAGCTGCGCAAAGAACAACTGGTGCCAACAGTGTTTGTAAACTCATGTGTCTGTTGCTTCTAAAATAACAAATGATATATTTAGCATAGGTGGTGAGAGGCATTGTAGGCACCACGATATGCTGATCCAGTCCAGACGAGCGAAAAAAAAAAGAGATGGAAAAGCTGAACCTAATTTATAACAGCTTTCTATTTGTCTGTGCATTTAAAAGGGGGTACAAACTAAAGCTTAGAAAAAAGCATTTGTTGCTTGCAATACTACCTAGTCCGAATACAGCAAGTCCTTCAATGATACTAGGCATCACTGTGCACTATGCAGGTAAGGAGGAGTGCTCTATGCAGGTAAAGCATTATAGAAATGTTGTGCATGTTTGGCAGTCTCATTGGGTAATGTGCCCATAGTTTATATGGAATAACTTATTCATACCTTTCCATGCTCCTGTTCAAGGAATTCAACTGCCTTTTACTTCGCAACAGTGCACGAAAGAAGGTTGAAGTAATAAGCATCAGCTGTAAGCAATACCCGTGCACTGCCAGTGCTGGCTACATTAGCATGTTAGTACACTTGCATGAAGGTCAGACAGTCTGGTTACCGTGTACTCTAGCATTATTTCTTAGTGGGCTACATGCTGGTAAGTTGGCGCCCTTTCTCTCAAGCATGGTTTTCTCATGATTTTTTTTCATCTTAAAGTTAGGATCACTTCTGGAATTGAGTAGTTTCCACACCATTGCCAACACAACCTTTAGCATTGCTGTGGAGGTAATAGGGCTTCAGTAGATTACCTGTACTCTGTTAAAAAGTGCCCCACATTTACATTAGTTGCATTTGTTTTTATATCTATTGTATGCGCATCACAAAAAATTGAGCTAGTTGACTGCAATTCAACAGGAAACAAGGTGAGGCATGCAGGCACAGACAACAGAAAAGAACGAGACAGGGAAAATGTGGCTGTCAACTGAAAAGGCACACTGTGCCCTTCTAGTGAGCAACCATTTAGAAAAAAATGAACAGTAACATTTACTTAAGGAAGGCCTCAGTGCACTTGAAGATCTGAGCTGGCAATAGTCCCCTAGGTAATCAAGACTGTTGCTAAACCTTTGATCGAAGCAATTAATGTGTTTTTGACCTTGTGTTTGAGTAGCCACTGCTGAATGCTTAAAAAGAGAAAAGTCCACCAGTTCGTCAAGTTCGAACATATCTGTTGGAAGAAGTAAACAAGAAAAGACATGTATATATTTTACCCTTGCATTCTTTGATGCGTGGGCTTAAGAAAGTACATATAGTATGAACATTGCTCTTGCAGCCATCGATAAGCTTTCAGATAAAATTTCAGCTGCTTCAACATTCTTTCACAAGGGCGCTATTAGTTCAGAAGGTCCAAGTATCGTATGAGCATGTCATTGTTAGACTGCTGCTTCATTAAAAAGAAACACATCTTTGCAGGTCGTGTCCTTAAAAGTATAATGGGGCAAGGTTTCCAAATTTCTGCAAGCGTTCTTCAAGGATGCTATCAGACCCCAAGAAAGGGTATGCACAACACAAAGGAACAAAAATGCCAGTAAGAATGGTTAAGCTTCTTGTGTATATTAGTGGAGGGGAGGGCAGGGGCATCAATACAGTATTATCAGATCAGAACATTAAAGTGTGCACAAACATGGACAGAAAGAGGTGATGACAACACAAGCCTTTACATCCAACTAGTCATTTATTCACAAAACTGCACAATATTGGCACTTTCTTTCATGACGTGACAAGACATAAATGAAAACAAGTGTACATGCTCAGAAACTGTTACTTGCGATGATAAAATAGTGAAAAGTGTCCTAATGTACAAGTGACTTGCCTTTCTAATATAATAAGCTCTATAATCTCCCTAACATGTTGGTTCTTAGTTCTCACTATTACCGGGCACTAATAATACAATTGCCTACGAAGCATCCGTCGCGGCCCGGTTGAATCTTGGACGTATTTTCGATGGAAGTGACAATGCTTGAGGCCCGCGGGCTTAGCTAGGTGCATGTTGAGAAATCCCAGTTGGTTGAAATTTCCAGAGCGCTCCACTACGGCATCTCTGGTAACTAGGGAGTTTCAGTGCTGGGTACCCAAGCGTCTTGCGTACGCAGGACTTTGGGGCGGTGGTATTGCGCATGTGCAAAACCCCAAACAGATGCGTCGCAAGATCGCTGGAGCGATGGGGCCATGCATCCGCGCGGACCACCTTCACAAAAACTCTTGGTATCCGCACTGCGGATACTCTAGCCGTCGAGTTAAAATGAGCTAAAGTGCGAGCCCCTATAGCGATTACACGGTTTTAGCCAGATTTCCAAAGCTAGAATGGCCTGGAACATAGAAACTAAAGGGCATATGCCAGCCCCCGACCAGCTGGATAGGTGGCGCCATCTAGCACGGCCATAGTGAAAGAGACAACCACAACTTTGTTATTGCAGAAACATTGTGCATTGTACATCTGGTGCAAAAACTGTGCAGCGACAATATTAAAAATGAGTAACCTTTTTATTCATTTTCACCTCAAAAACATTACGCGTAAGCTAACATGTTCATGGCTGCGGTTGCACGAAGTGTCACAAGATGTCAACACTGTCGTTACAGTAACCTTGTATTTTTCACTTTTTTGCGTATACCAGATTACTGTACATAATAAAAAAAGTGTACTGATCACTATTGATGTTTAATTTAACACTTTAAATCATAAAAAGACCTAAATAATACTTACGCGACAAGACGCTATGGCTCTGCGAGCGCGTGTGAACTTTGTACGGCTTGCGTTTGCGTGTGGGCTACCATGGCGCCAGCTAAAAGGCATTCTGGTTGGGTATGGGTTGGGCACGCAACACCGCGCGCTCCCAAGCTCGCAACGCCCCAAGAGAATGCGTACCCAGCACTAAAACTCCCTACTGTATCTTGGTCATGGGATGTTAAGCCCCAACCACTATTGCTATTTATTTAACAATACTGCCAATCTCATCAGAGACTATAGTAGGGAGGGCATATGAGAAATAAGAAGCAGTCACAAGACTACGTGCAGGCCAATGGACCGGCTGAAATTTGAATGAAATTTCCTGAAACCTAGTGTGTCAAGTTTTGGCTCTCTCGGAAGACAATTTTCTTTGCCTTTACCAATCAAGAATGATGTTGTTCCTAGTAGATGCCATCATAATTTTGACGTTACAGTGGCTGGTGACATGCCCTCACGCCTAGCCGTGTGTGGGTTAGCTGTGTCTGGAGGAAAGGTTTGGTGGGGGTTAAGCTGCAGCTGGGTGCTTTGACCTTTCCGAGGCCCCCTGGAAGAGACAACACACCCCTGGCCCAGGCTTCGCCTAGAGAGCACTCCCGAGCTGACCCACTCAAGAAAAGCCAGCAGTCACCATTTCTTGTCTCACTACACATATATTTACCTCTTTCTCTCAATTTTAATGTTTCCTGCCTTATCTTTCTTTTATTTGCTTTTAATGTTTTTGGTGGCTACAATATAGGTGTGTTGTATTGAGCCTTGGGTGAAGATATTAGATTATAGTGGCGGTGTATAGCTGACGCTTGCAGGTTCTTGAGACCTGTAGCAACTCCATGTTAGGCATGGCAGTAGGCGTCTACCAGTGCTGCTGATTTTCAAAACCATGTTATTGCAGCATCTTTCCCACACTTTACATATTGGCCTATGGAAAGAGATTGCACCAAAGCAGAATTTAACCTTATTCTCTGTTCCAGCCTATACTCCATTTCACCAGCTTTTGGGAGTGTAGCCAAAGGTAGAGCTCTCGTCCAATCAGGGCTGTGGAGGCACAGCAAATAGTCCCTGAAATATTTCAGAGATCAAATACTATTTCGCAAGCTATACTCATAGAAATTGAAAACGCGATTAAGATTGACTGTTTGAATGCATGCAGTTTTTAAATCATTAGTGAAATTAAGACACACAGCCCACACGGACACATCTCTGCGGAATTTTTTGTGAGGTGGTGATGCGCCGTTTCTCGGAAACATGGTGTCACCGGAGTTGGTTGTGTCTGTGCAAGATGCCCTTCAAGCTGAGTGACCAGTAAGCCATCCTTCGAATGTGCGCGGTATTCCCAAGCTAGCAAAGCAGATAGCTTTAAATATTTTTTAAGGGCTTCGCATCGAGTGTGGAGACAGTGCAAGTGAGGATGCTCTTACTAAGAAAACTGCAAAACTGACCCAAGTGAGTGAGCAAACGCTGTATCAGTGGAAAACTGATACAGTTATAGCAGAGTCATTATGTTATAGCTGCTCTGGTTATGTGTGAAGTCCACTTGTCGCCGGAGTGCAGTGTGCTGGCACCAGCTGCAGAACCGCACGACAGCAGAGCACAGCTTGGCCCCGATTATGGAGCGTGCCATAAATGGGCTTTCTACGAGTAATTTTTGAGCATCTATAGTAATTGGTTGAGATAAGAGAAAGGAATTTTTAGCTCACTTTAATAATTTACTGGGAATTCAAGGCCGCGTGCTGCACTGTAATATTTGGCTCGGGTGTTGTCGGAAGGCTTTACCGATCAGCAGCGTTTTCTGATTTGGCTCAAAAAGTGTTGCAGGGCCTCTTTAAGTATACTTCTGGGCCCACTATTTCAAGCACTCGACATGCCACCATTAATGTCAATGTCACTGACGTGCTACCAAGTCCCTAATAATGATGGGTTTCTAGAAATAAAAGCTGAGTTGATCATCTACAGGAAATAGCGGAGAGAATGTGCCAGAGACTAACTCAATGGTAAAACAAGTCTTCTGAAGCTTACAGATCAAAGGCACTGCAAGTAAAGACCAACATGCAGCAGACACTTGACCTCTAATTTCTTGACTATTCAGGTTTAATAATGTTGTCCATGACAGCCGTGACCGATGCGAACACTTTGTCCGGGTCGTCCTCAGCTGAGATCTGAAATACAAACACAACATACTTTATCAAAACTTTGCAGCAAGCCTTAAAGGGTGACTAGGAAAGTCTAAAGTATAATAGCGTACCCCATGTATTTTAAACACACACACAAACACACACACACACACACACACACACACACACACTAATAGCAAGCAGAATATACATATAACTATACTTTGAGGTACCACAAGTTGTACAGGTGAGCTGACCGCGAACTCAGTCTTGAATTTGATCTTTTAGACTCGCATTGTAACCGCTCATTACTTGCATGTATGTGTTTCATGACTTTAGCCCGGATTTTTAGAAACAAAAAACAGTGTTTTAGGCACCAAAAGTAGGTAGGCCAAACAGTTTTAGGCTCCCAAAAATATAAATATGAACACAATATAACTTTACAAAAACTCAATATTTTGTAGAAACAGGTGCGCAACCTTTCTGCGACCGGAAATAATGAAACCTTATAGTTTGTGATGGCACAAAGGCGCCAGTTCTTAGCATAAAGCCAATCAACTGTCCCTTTTTCCGCCTGGTTTGCGGAGCATTATCACCAGTTCAACTACGTCTACTGCAGAACGAAGGCCTCTCTCATGATCTGCCAATCAACCTGGTCTTGTGCTTTTTGCTTACACGTTATATCTGCGAACTTCTTAATCTCATCGGTCCACGTAACTTTCTGTCTCCCGCTCGAGCGTTTTCCCTCTGAAGGAATCTAGGCAGTTGCTTTGCATGACCAGCAGTTATGCTGCCTGAGGTTTAGTGGTTGATTATCATTTATTATTTAAGAATGCTCGCCGAATGTGATCCACCCTATCCTTATCGTTCTAGTTACTTCACTCTCATGGTTGGGCTCAACGGTTACTATCTATCCTAAATAGATATATTCCTTAACAACTTGCAGAAGTCTCTCCAACTATCATGAAGCAATGTTCTCTGCCCAGACTGTTACACATTAGTAATATGCATAATAATTTTTAGACCTACTATTTTGCTTTCCATGTTCAGTTTAGTATTCATGACCTGTAATTTGTCCCCTGAGTTACTTATCAAGGCAATGTCATCAGTGAATCATAGGCTACTAAGATACTTTCCATTAGCTCGATCCCCAACTCTTCATAATCTGGGGCCCTGAAACCTCCTGTAAACACGTGGTGAAGAGCAATGGAAGGATTGCGTCTCCCTGCCTTACACCCTTCTTTATTGAGATTATGTCGCTTTATTTAGAGAGAACTATAATGGCCGTGAATCTTTTGTAGATTTCTTCTAGATTGATTATGTAGGGCTCATCGACGCCCTAATTTTGTAGCGCCTGCATTACTGCTGATGTCTCGACTGAGTCAAACGCCTTCTCGTAATCTATGAAGGCAATGTATAGAGCTCGGTTATATTTCGAGCATTTCTCTATCACCTGATGCATAGTATGAATATGGCCCCACCGCAGTGTTCTAGTGGCTAAAGTACTCGGCTGCTGAACCGCAAGTCACGAGGTCGAATCCCGGTTTCGGGGGCACGTGCATTTTCGATAAAGGGGGAAATGATGCAGGCCCATGTGCTCAGCTTCGGGTGGACGTTAAAGAACCCCAGGCTGTCGAAATTTCCGGAGCCCTCCACTATGGCATTTCTCATAATCATTAGGTGGTTGTGAGATGTTAAACCCCTCATATCAATCAATAGTATAAATATAGCCTATTCTGGAGCAGCCTGTACGAAATCCTGCTTGCTTTTGTGTTTGATTGAACTCTAATATCGTCCTAATTCTACCAGCTATTATTTTTGTGAATAGTTTAGCTAGAATGAACGATAAGCTGATCAGTGTAATTTGTGGTCTTTGATATCTCTTTTTTATAGGTTATGATGATTTTCACGTTCTTCAAAGATTTTGGTACCTTTCCTATCAAGAGACACTTGGTACATAAGGTGGCCAGTTTTTCTAACACAATTTCTCCGCCATGTTTTAGCAGGTCCATTGTTAAACTTATACTCACCAGCAGCTTTGCCGCTTTGCATTCTAGGGCATTCATTACTTCCCCTTTGTTATTGATAGAATGTCGAATTCCTCTGGGGTTATTATTGCTTCTTACGATATCATCCTGGTTGTTTCGGCTTCTGTACAGCTCCCTGTAGAACTAACTCCTCCGCCACCCCAACCACCCTATCCATAATGGTTATGAAATTGTCTTCCTTGTCCTTTATGTATACATCGGATTTTTCCTTTATGCACAAATTTTCTTTTGCAGCTCTTAAAATTTCGCCGTTTTTTACCACCTGCTTGATTCTCCCAATGTTATACCTACTGATGTCGCCTACCTTACTTCTAGTAATTAGCTTCGAAAGCGCTACTAGCTGTATTTCGTCGGTTCCATTTTTGGCTTGGTCAATGACATTTTTCGTCTCGTAGGGTAGTTTGCCACTGTCCTGTCCAGTGACTGTACCTCCGACTTCCATTGCTCAATCTTTGATGATACCAGTAAGAGTATTGTTCACTTTGCCAACGCTGAAACCGGGGATCTAATTTACAACCGCGACTCTAATCTGAGGCAAAACTATCCATTCCTGTACTTTACTTCTCAATACCAGCTTAGTTATTGGCTTCTTATGTATCAGTTTATGCGTTTCATTTTTTTTCTAGGTGAATTCAAACTTTTATCATTCTTACCAAAAACATTACCAGAAAGAGGTGAATCGTCAGACTGACCAGCACTTAATGGCCAACTTAATTGACGACATGCAGAATATATTCATTTAGCTGAATAATAAGTATTGGGTTGATGGCATACTGCCTCAGGAATGGAAATCGGCCGAAAGTACCTTTATTCCCAAACACGGAAAGCCGATCAATATAGAGAACCTTCGTCCTATTTCTTTAACCTCCTGTGTAGGCAAGATATTGGAGAAGGCACTGTACATTCGGCTCACTGAATACATAGATATTCAGTAGTAAAAAAGAAGCATGAACAAGTACAAATATTCGAATTGTTCAAACCAACATCAGGAGACACAATCTTGTTACTCCTTCAAAATTCTCAACAATTTTGGGACGTGAATCATTTGATGAGGGACCCAACTGAATGCGTAATAACGCCACTTCAGGCTATGCTATAAGTTTGCCAGGCTCAAATCAGAGTTGAAAAGCATAAGAGCAGTGTAGCATTCACGTATGTCATCGGTTGAAACCATGCTGTCGCTTGAAAGACCATAAAGCCCTTCCGCAGTTTAGGGTGTTTTTGCTTTTGTAGGTCCATTCAAATGGCCCTGCACCCCTTTCTGAGCGTGGCCAGAAAATACTGCCGATTGGTATTATTAGTTCCCGAGAACACGCAAGCCGATAATTATAGGGTGGCACGAGCCTAGAATATACAACTCATTCTATGTCAACCAGGAAAAGCATTTCCTATTCTTCTGACCAATCATGGATAAACCCATTGGCTGGTTTGAGCATCGTGAGCAGCCTAGCTACGATGTCCGCCGCAAGATGCCCCCATATGTCTGCTCGCAAGCTCGCGACCACACTGAAAGAAAGCTAAGCGTTCAAAGAAAGTGCTCAAGCTCATGACCCGCACTGATGAAGGCGTCGTCTTTTTGCCCCCTTGTGATCCCTTTTTCTGCATAGCTTTTAGAACGCTCCCAAAAACAAAAAGGGAGTGAAAGCGCCATAAGCGCTGAATTCCTGTATGCTCGTACTTGACAGATTCTAGAAGTAGCAGTGGATTCGTAACGAAATAAGCTCTTTTAATTGAGCTATTAAACAATTACTTGCAAGAGTGTTTCAGAGCTCCATGATCAAGTCACCTTCACTCGTTTGCTGCCTGAGGTTTAGTGGTTGATTATCATTTATTATTTAAGAATGTTCGCCGAATGTGATCCACCCTATCCTTATCGTTCTAGTTACTTCACTCTCATGGTTGGGCTCAACGGTTACTATCTATCCTAAATAGATATATTCCTTAACAACTTGCAGAAGTCTCTCCAACTATCATGAAGCAATGTTCTCTGCCCAGACTGTTACACATTAGTAATATGCATAATAATTTTTAGACCTACTATTTTGCTTTCCATGTTCAGTTTAGTATTCATGACCTGACCACTGCTGAGGTTTATAATCTGCTCCTCACCAATGAATAGATTTCAATGAAACCTAACCTTACCTAACCTAACCTAACCTAACCCAACGTAAGCTGACCTAACCTAACCTAACCTAACGTAACCTAACCCAACCTAACCTAACCTAACGTAACCTAATCTAACCTAACCTAACCGCCGAAGTTTTGATGACGAACCTCAGCGTAATGAAATGTGGGCTTCGAGTGTGGGCCTTGCGTAATTTCACGTCGCAGCAAGCAAGGATACGGTCTTTTTTTCTAAAGGAAACCATAAGCCCACCTTGTGAACGATAGATTTGTACTTCTGAAGCACGGGCTCTGACTCGTCGTGGAAGGTCTTGATACGCTTGACGATGGTGTCCTCATTATCGTCCATGCGGCCGCTCGTCTGGTCCTGCTTCAGAAGCCGGGCCTTCATCGTATCGTCTGACACCTCGAAGTAGATCAGGTTCATGCACTTGCACACCTGCACAGTTTCATTTGCAATAAATATGTGATTGCTCATATTTATTATTCAGCATGATATTCATAATATCAATTTTTCGATTGTTTGTTTTCTAATAAAAATATCCGGTGAAGACTGATATATTGCTACTATCTCTCTAGAGATCACACAACTTGCCTATACGACACGACCTCCTTCGCCGACATGCGATTTGCTCGTTTCCCGTGAAGGCAGTGAAATTGGCATCATGACCACAATTTATTAGAGACATGTGCACGTAGCGCCGTCTATCACATGTGGCAGCTGTGGTCAGCAGTAACTGAAGCGCAGTTAGGTGAAAAGAAAATCATACTCGACAAAGAAAGCCAGTCAGGAAGAACTCCAGGTTCTACAGCAGGGACTCGCAAAGGACATTTTGGTAAAACTGTAGTGTCGAAATACAAATCGCTTGGCTTCCCCCGAGAATTTATTTCTTCACAATACGGCCGAGGTATTTCTAATGGGCTGTATTCAACTGTCCAGGGAAGTCACACACCTTGTAGTGTGACAGTTCTTTTAGCAGAATTTTCAAGTAAGTTAGTGCATTATAGAACGGGGATAACTTTTTGATACCTATCTTTTTTTCGTCAGATATACGTATCTTTTGCCTCTTTCCCATTCAGTTACGGCAGGTCATCATTGCTTCTGTCAAAACAAGGCACCCCGTACAGGTGTCCCGAAATCCTGGAAAGGTTCTTTATGTTCCAACTAGATTTTGCAGAAGGCAAAAGGTGTAATTTCCTGGCACGCACCGAATTAGCTCTGCTGTATATAGTCATACTTCTAAAAGCACATGCCTTTGAACTACAGCAAAACTTGTTCAGTTTAATTTATGCTAGATAATTTTGGGAAAATTTGTGTAATAGATGGTATACACGTTTCATTGAAATCTATTCATTGGTGAGGAGCAGATTATAAACCTCAGCAGTGGTCAGGTGCTTATATTTATGGATTGGCATGTGTATACTTACAGTAAATACACGAATTTTCACAGGTGCATCAGTTATCAAGTCGCATAGAAAACAAAAATAGAAAAATGTCTACGAAAGAGAAGACGATTGTCTAACAGAGTAGTATTCGTGGTAGCAACCTATGTGCTCAATGGCGCTCCCTTGGTGCGCTTTGCGTTTTGAGAGTGCTTTTGTTGTGACAGGTCTGGCATTGAAAGATTATTTATTACGCATACAACACTTTGTACGCAGTATTAACCAAAAATCTAAAACTGCTATAATCGTACAATGACCAAAGTTTTTTTTTTCCGAAAATTAGGGTGAAAATCGCTGGCATTGCTCCCCATTGTGCAGAGATGGAGACTCTTTTGGTATATGTTTTCAGGGCTACTTGTCCTTCTTGAACTGCGGTACTAGAGTTTGCAGGGAAAACCGAAAAGGAACCTTGGCAACTTTCACCCAGTTCTAAGACCATTCACTTTACCGCGTCCTCCTCCCTCCTACTCATCATCCCAAATTCGCCTCTGTCCCAAATGAGGTTTTCTTCTGTTCCACACAACTCATTCGAGATCCTCGAACTTTTACTCCGTCATCTCGAAGGGAACTCTCACCCTTGAAACATCTAGTGGCAAAATACGGAATCTATGGCAGCATATACAAAAGTGCAAAATTTCGACTGGAGCCACTCGATATGGACACATTTTAAGCCACTGATGTAGTACGAGGTGTAGTACAGATGCATTTTCTTTTTTTATAATTGCTATGTATTTATGGGTGTGTCTATTCTGGTAATATATTAAGGGCCAAGACCTTCAATTCCTTCATAAATGCAAAATTTGTCTGTCCGCGTTAATACGAGTGAAAAAAAAATCATCACCTGATGCCATGACTGTCATAAATTACCATAATTTGACATATAATTATGGTGTCATCATGGCGTCATAAGACGATGTCACATCGTCACTCGGTGGCGCCAATAACGGAGGCAATGAAAAGGCAGGTGAGCTGCCCACAGTTTGCAACGACTTCTATCCTAGAGGCAGTGCAGAGCCACATTAAGTGCAAGAAGCTCGTGGAGGGAGGCAGTGGAGGATCAATTCATGTACGGAAAAGAAAAAAGGCGTTCGCCTTATAGTCGCCTTAGAAGAAAGGACTGTCCCAGAGAATTTATCACTGTTTATATACACCGCTTTCCAAAGCGATTTCGTGTGTGCCATCACAGCGTCACAAATGAATAGCGCGTGTTCACAAAAAAAAAATCCAGTTGGAAGCTCGACTTTGCCTTAGCCGCATTTTTCTCTAGGCATTTGCGCAGCAACATGAAGAATATACATATATCCTGAAAAAATAAAAGTACACAATACCACTCGACTACTTGCATTACCAACGGTTAACATGCTGCAAGAGCCACACGCAAAGACGTTATCGAAATATAGTCCTCAAATTGTTTAAGCAGCACGGTGCGTTGTTATGCTTAATTTCGATCTTCTTGTATGAAGATCAGGAATATGAACAGGTGAACACAAATGGCGTACATTCCTTGACGTGGACAAACTACCTTATATGTAAAATACATTAACGGCACGAAGCTGCACGTAGAGAAGAAGCTTACGTCAGATTCGAAGCGCTCCCCTTGCTCGACATTCCTGGGATAACCATCAAGGAGGAATCCCTTGGCTGTCAGTAAGTCTTTCTTGATTATTTCCTTTATCAGTTGAATGATCATATCCTGCAATACGAAAAAGAGGTGCTCATCAATTATATAAGCACTCGAATTTCTGGCACCTGTAATTCCCAAACAGCTGGATGATTAACAGGGCAAAGCAAGTTGCGAATATTGCTTATACAAACATACATACATGCCGACGGTATCTGCATGTTAAAGAATTGTGGTCTCACTGCATACCCAGTATAATTTCTGTTAATAATATGAAGCGAATCTGCTTAATAATCAATATCAGTCCTAATCTGCATGTGGTAGACCCGCTCAACAAGGTATGCCGAGAATATCAAAACTCGCCGAAATGTTTGTTTCTACCTATACAACTCGGCTAATAACTAAAAAGTACAACAAAGCATAGAACGACGAAGATATTATTTTAGTTTTGCACGCTCTTTAACAAATTCATAATACCGTGCGAATGCTAGTACAGATCAACCCTAAAAATCATCATAGCAAGAAAAGTTGCCCCGCGCGGCTGCTTATTTAGGGTTAGCTGTATTGTTCTTATCTTGAGCACATATTTCATAGCGTCTAATACAACTCTCTCAACATGTAACATGGCCGTTTTGAAGCGGTAACCCCCCCCCCCCTACCAGTTTGGGCAGAAGGAGGTGTTCGCGTGTTGCGTGCCTACGCGTATGGTCGGATTGTGTCCTTTACCTGCATCTGTAGTCCACGAACTTAGCCCATATAGAATCTGCTCAAGAATGTTTCAGATGGAAAGGACTGTATCACCTGCACACGCAGATGTGGCAAATGTGACAGGCGTGTAAGAAGAGCCATATATTGTATAATGCTGCACCTGAAAATGTTAGTCATGGTTTCTATAAAAAAACATAACTTGTACGGATGAACGAACTATATCTGACGCACGAATTTCCAGTGCTTTTGGTCGTCTCTGTACAGCAGGGGTCCGAGCATGGGTACATGCGCCTCGAACGCAAGCTCGTGGTTCTATTTTGCCAATTATATTTCAACATGTGCTCCTTTTGCTCAATTTTTATGTAACATGTGTAACTTCGGACTGACGCAAACAGCGTCCGATTAACTGGAAACTATCTAAATAATACTAGAACCTTCCTATAAGATTATGCGCAAAACAAAACCATTATAGTTTGTTCTGGATCTCGCGCTGCCTCTAGCGATAACCTCGGACTCTTCTATGGCACACATATAAACGCCGACGCGCTTGGCCGCTTGACAGATTATCGACGGTAAAACAAAGTTTCACCTTGGACACGCCGACTGCTGCCTTCGTCAACGCATTATACCCCATGAAAATATTGAGTTGCACGTGTCCTTTAGTGAACCCTAACCACTAAACGCAGACACGGTCGGGTGACTAACATTCCTGTGTCCACTCGTAACTCTTACGAACTGCTATCCCTGCTTCATCTAACGCCTGCTAAGCCACAACACCGAAGTTAAGAATCTTTAGCTGTAAATGCATTTTCTGTTCTATGCCTACACAGAACCATAAATGTCTTATTTTCTGCGTAGATATAGCATGTCATGTCTATTGTGCGTTGAAGTTAACCAATTTTAGAGCCAAATTTTGAGCGTTATATGGAACAAAACCTGAAAAATTTACTTTTTCCTTTCCCAGCTTATGAAAACGAAAAATAAAAAAAGAAAAACGGGTGTCCTGGGAAGATGCTGCTCCTGGATGCCAGCACTACAGCAGGGCCACGCTCTTTAACAGCGAAGTTTCTTATACCTAGAAAGCTGTATGGGCTATATACATCTGTTATCCCCACAACAGAGGTGTTCACGGCTTTTACCTTTTCTGAACTTTTGAGACGTCCTTCGCCTGGCGTGCTTCCGCAGAAGTGACCTATTGTATACTCCCTGTTTACAATGTGCGTTGGAAACAGCTGAGTTTGCACGGACATCCTAAGAGCCCAGTACCGGCAGCTTTGACAAATAACTACCCCCCCTCCTCGAAGTAAATTGTTAGAAAATGTGAATGCATTGCGTATCGTTCATAACGGTGTTTCGCATGTGAGATTCAAGAATTAGAAAAATATTGTTTTTTTAACCGTGCAGCCAAGAGCACCATTCGCAGCAGGTGGCATTTTTCTGTCACGAAAAACACGATATGCGTGTCCAGCTCTTGTAGCTAGCATGCACGGTGAAAAAATACTGTGAAATGAATCAAAGTGCGTTCTCGGCTCAGGGTTGGTACACAATTCCGGATCTCCACATTTCTGGATCTTCACATTTTCAGATGTTCTTGATAGGCGCCCAGCCAGCGAACGGTCCAGAGTGAGGCGCGAGCGGACAAGAAAGTGGAGCGCAAGGAGGAGAGAGAGCGAACAGTGAGAGGAGCGGCGATGCACTGCACCGGTCATTGTACCTGACTGCTGTAATGTCAGCATCTTATCAACAGAAACGCTACGCAAATGCTGGCAGCACAAATGCCACAAACGCGTTTCAAACGCACTGCATTGAGGCGGCGGCAAGTCGGTTACAAGGCAACAAGATGGGGGCTCCGGTTCTAAGGGCGAGAATAAGGCCGCATGCCCGCGCGTTGTTGGGTGACAGCTTGCCGACAGCCGAAGCGTGACTTGGTGGAGGCTCCGGTTGCTAGGGCCGTGCCCGCCCGCAAGCTATTGCTATGGGAGAGGGGGTGGTAGACAAGATCCGACGAATGTTGACATATTCCGATTAGAACGCATTTGCATTTAAAAAATATCAAATGAAGAGCGTTCATTCACCCGCGTTTCATTGCTGAAAGCTCTCCAGTCCTAGAAAAATCATTGTTAAAGGGCTACTCACCAGACTCTAAAAATTAAAAAAAACGAGTGCAATACTTTCT